GCCCCCTACTAGCTGCACATTAAAAACCACTGCCTCTCACTTTAGGCCTCCAGGACATACTGAATACAGGAGATTGCTTAACTTTATTAGCAGCTAGAGCAATAGGGTAATTGAAAAGGTGGTGATTTGGTGCACTGGTATGCCTTTGCCTGGAAAAAATGCACTTGATGATTGCAAATTAAAAAATATATATGTAAATATTAAGAATATATACTGTACCACCCTTTAAAATATATAAAAAAATAAAACCTAAAACAACAGAGCCCAACCCTAAACCACTATATTTTCTTTATTATTTTTAAAACCTAAATGAAAGTAGTAAGAAAATCTTTGTGTGAATCCTGTTTTGTTCAAGATACCAGGGATATGGATACCAGCAGCCAACAGGTAGTCACACTTATTAAGAAAGTTGTCTAGGACTCTAGGTCACTTCCAGTGGCCCTGCACGTGAACTATTTACTATGACAATGTCCAGTTCTCCTCCAAAACCAGTCTTATCAGGCTTATTAACCCTCTTCAGACACCTCAGATGGTGAAGATGAGGAGGATGAACTATATGCATGTGTTTTCACCTGTTCCTCTGTAAGGGCTATTAAAAAAGAAATGTTTAAAGAGGAATAGATCCTACAAAGCAGCGGAAGTATTTCAAACACCTCAAAAAAGAGTACTGTAATTTCCTTATGATGACGAGACTAAAGGATGTCATTCTGGAAAAAAAGGAGCAAAACTGAGCACAAGTCATCTCTCCACAACAGGATGTTAAAATCATACCCTCTAAAGGAAGAGGATGTCCAGCATCTGGAGACACCTTCCTTGGTCCATGAAGTCCTCATGAGGTTGGCCAGACACATAATTTTCCACTAGAGAGCGCTAAAATCCTTCAAAGAAATACTTGATTGCTGCATTGATCTTTAAAGTGGATTAATTCACTTTGCAGCTGCCTCTGACTTCTCCTGCTCCAGTCTGCAGGTCCACAATATTCTGCACTGTTGGCTTACACTAATGGTTCATGTCTCACCCCTTGATTATTCAGTTCTTCAAAGGGGAGCTGTGTCTTAGACCTCAGAGAAAGCTAAGATTCCACAATTAGGATTTTCCACTTATGGACTTCATTGCCAGTTCCAGATCTGGTCACAGTCAAGTTCGATTAAGGGCTTCTTTTTAAGACAGCCTTTCTCATAGCTATTACCTCGGCCAAGAGGGTTTCCAAAATCAGGGCCTTGTGCTTCAAGAAACTCCTTTTGACATTCTACAATGACTGAGTAGTCCATATTCCTATGCTGGGATTCAGTCCGAAAGTGGCTTCAGCATTCCATGAGAACCAAGGTATTATTCTACCCACATTTCAGGACAACAGGGGTTAATAGGCTCCGACAGAATGCTTTAAACTGACATACAAGCTATGATTGTGTTTAGAGATTCAGACCATCTCTTTGTCACTTTCTCTGGTAAGAACAGAGGAAAGCAAGCATCATCAAGAACTAGGGATGCACCATAATTACATTTTTACACCAAAATCAAAGGCAGCCGAGTGAATAACCAAGCCGATACAAATCCTATCATGCATCTGGCTGTGGGCGTCATGTATATGCAAAAGTCTTGCAATGCATTATGGGTCTTGGAGCTCCACCACAGTTACGGAGCCAGAGTTTGCCCACCCCTGAAGATCCTCTACAATTTAGGAATGATCGCTGTACAAATCAATGCACAGCAAACCTCAGTCCAAAACCAACGTACGGCAAACCTCAGACCAAAACCACCGTACGGCAAACCTCGCTTGCCTCCTCCGTCCTCCGGTCATATCGCCTCACTCGGCTGAATCTCTGCCCGACCTTCTAGGCCCCCCTTCCCCAGCACCCTCAGGTGCCCTGGCAGTGCCTGCAGAGGGAGAGGGGTATCGTCCACCCTGGCTGAATAATATTATATTCCCCCCTTAATATTGGCGCTGACAGGATGTGTGGAGGCAGACTCCACTAGCCCGTGCTGGGTTCGGTCCCCGCTCACTTGATGGGGCCCGCCTGGTACAGGGCAGCTGCCTGTACACCCCTATCGGCAGGCCTGGTCACGGGCCCCAGGGCCGGCTTTAGGCCTTTAGGCGCCCTGTGCGAGAAAGCTTTACAGCGCCCCTCAGTGACCACACCCCTCAGTGGACACACCCTTTAGTGGCCACCCCCCGTAACCACACCCATTTTCCCCAATATCCGCACCATATAAAATTACCTAGATATACACCAAGATGGTGGCGTCCAACACGTGCGGTGTTATATGACGTCATGCGCCCTGTCTCCAGAACACACAAATGGCTGAATCCAAAATAGCATAAAAATGTGTTTTGTTTGATGAAACAAATGAAAAGTTTTTAGTTTTCGTTCATTTCATCTGAAATACATTTTTAGTCTTCGCACATGTCTAATAATATGCCTGTGTGTGTGTGTGTGTGTGTGTGTATGTGTGTGGGGGTGTGTTTTTGTTTTACACACACACACACACACACACACACACACACACACACACACACACAAGACTCCTATTTTGTTAAGCCACAGAGAAACATATTAAAAAGTATGATAAAAATAAAACTTTTATTTAAAGGTATCAAACTTGTCGGCACAATATAAGTATTCTTATCAAATAAAACAACAGAAGGTAAACAATAAATGTCAAACTACAATAGATTCTATAAAAATAAAGTGTCAGGATGTCATGCCGATCCCTCTTTTAAGTAAGTGCATCTAGAAAAGTAAAAATAAAAAACAGAACACAAACCCCGGGCTACATGTAAATTAATGAATTACTATATGTCCGAATATACGAGAAATGTATTCAGACACATAATAATAATTTGTTTGAGAATGTGCAGCGGCCATGTTGGCCACCAGCGTGTTCTGTGAATGCGTGCCACCATCTTGGAGGCAGGGAGCATGACGTTACATGCTCCAAGATGGCGGCGCCCAACACGTGGGCGCCATGTTGACGTCATGCGCCCTGCCTCCAGAACACGCCAATGGCTGAATACAAAATAGCATAAAAATGTGTTTTGTTTGATGAAACAAATGAAAACGTTTTTTAGTTTTCGTTCATTTCATCTGAAATTAATTTTTAGTCTTCGCACTTGTCTAATAATATGTGTGTGGGAGGCGGGGCGAGGGGGGGCAGTTTTCACTTTTTTTTCATAATTTTTTAATTTTTTTCATAATTTTTTATTATTTATTTATTTTGTACTGTTGGGGGGCTTCGGGGAAATATTAGGGGTCCAAACAGACCCCTGACATTTCCCTTTTAAAATAGAAAGGAAATTGAGGACACCAAATCCTTAATTTCTTTTTCTGCAGCCTCAGCACGCAATGAATAGGAAGCACTCAGCACAGAGGCTCCTCCCCATTCATTCACACACTGATGATAGAGAAATATTTACTATCAGCTGATTCTGAATGGGGAGGAGCCTCTGTACTGAGTGCTTCTCATTCATAACCGGGGACACCTAGTACTATGTGTCCGCAGTTATTTACAAACACTGGAGTGATCAGACAATCGCTCCAGGGTTTGTCCTTCTCACACGGAGGACCGGTAAATATCAATGATACTTACCGATCCCCCGCTCTGCCACGCAGAGAGCCGCTGTCAACCTGAAACTGTCAGGATGACAGCGGCTCCGATCTCCTCCCCGCTCGGCCATCCTGACAGCTGCGGGAGCGGCTTCTCTCCTACTCACCGCTCCGCCATCCTGACAGCAGGCATCGTTCCCTCCTGCCTCCTGCGCCCCGCCTGAAGTGGGGGGCAGACGAGGGAGCGCTGTCATACCGGATGGCCAGCTGTGAGGGAGAGAAAAGCAGCCCCCAGGACGAGCTGTGTCGGTCTCACGGCGCCCTTGTTGCCATGGCGACCTGTGCAGCTGCACAGCTCGCACACCCCTAAGGCCGGCCCTGACGGGCCCCATGCTGGTCGCGGGCCCTCGGCCCTTGCCCGACTGCTTGATGGGTCAGTCCGTCCCTGCTGATGGATTATCCGAAGCTGCGGCTATATCCTTCGGCTTCTTTGTGAATAACCCTTTAAGTTTTTACAGGAAACCATAAGACTTATGATACATTCTGAAAGTTGAAGTTGAGGTGAGCAAAGTGAAGGTAAGGGAAAGAAAAAAAACTGTGTAAAAGACAGATATAATAATGAAAAGGCCATTTAGTTGTTCATTTTTAAAGTTAAAAAAATGACGAGATGAATTCAAGATGAAGGTCTTTCTTTTTTTGTGAATGTATAAACCTAGCCAATTTTCTACCTCACTTTGTAAATGTAACTACTTTAAAGTAGCTTTAACAAGCTAAGACTGGACAATGCCAGTATATGTGTCATTTTGCCATGGAGGGCCATGCTGAAATAGAATATTTCCTTTAGGCTAGATTCACACTATCACATTGCAGTAATGCACATTATGCTTGTTAGTGTGCCATTAATTTTATATCAATGCATGGTCGTATGCTACTGAGCATTGTAGTGTTAGAAAGAGTGATACATGTATGTTTTTTCTCCCTGCTCAGGTGCTTTGGCAGCCCATTCCATTGTAAAAGGGATTATTATTGTTATTATTATTATTATTAGTGAGTGTTTTTAAGCAGTCTGTATGTAAAAATCAAAACTCTGAAAACCATTCCATTTTGGTATAAAACCTTTTTTTGTATTCTGTTTTTGATATTATTCTGCTGTTCCATGTATGTTCATGCTGATTATTCTGAAGACATATTTTAGGTAATGATTAACACAATCCAGGATGAGAAGTTTCATATACACTCAACAATCCTCACTTCTCTTCACTTACCGCACATGTCCACACTCATCAATCACTAATACAAATGCCTGTTATTACTGGAGTAAGAAAAAAAAAGATGCACTAATAATACGTGTTCTATTATACCTTTTATTTAGAACACTGCATGCTCTCCACCCCTGAAAATATTTTAGAGATGCACATTTGGAAAATTTTTGGATGAGCTGTTTTTCTGCGTAGCTGTAGCCAGCCAATGGCAGCAAAGGCACAGAGTTTTCTTGGCAATATATGAATCAGTTCTTTCACAGGAATTGATGCTCAGAACGCACTATTTCACACGTGGGTAAAACTTTATATGGGGATCCAAAGCCTGCAGGGAAAGATGCCTGAGACTGACAACTCCAAGGACAGCAGGAGAAGCAGCAAGTACAGCACAATAGCCATGCAAAAGGACAGAAGCTGTTTAGGAAAACTGAAACTAAGGAACAGCCTGGCGAAGGAAACCCTGTCTGAGTTTTTCGGCACATGTTTGTTGATTGTAAGTGGCAGCTGTTTTCCTGTTTCTTTACAAGTGACTGTGCTGATGTGTGCATTTTACTAAGTGCTTATGCATAAGGCAGCTGTTTTCATTTTGCTGGTGAGAGCGCTGAAAAAGGAAACATTCATTAACGTCTTACTTGATTTTACTTGCAGCATAGATACTGTACAAGTCCGTAATAAATAAGTCAGAATACAAAAGTTTATAGCAGTCAGCACTGGTTTATGATGGGCTTTGCCACATTTTCCTCTGAACTAGAAAGATGGGCAGGAGAGGAACACAAACTACTGCAGAACTACATAGAAATGTACTCTAATTAAAAATGCAAGACCTGTCGGCTGCCTCCTTTGAGCCTTTGGTGAACTGAGCCTTTTAACAGACAACAGAAAAGAAATACATGCTGTGCTTTCTCTCTTGGTACTCTGGTGCCCATATAAGCATAGTTCAGCTTGAATAGCAATTGTTTTATTAATCTCCTATTTCTCCCCTCTTAATAGAAGACGAAAAGTGGGCATTGTAACAGCTGTGCATACTTTACATGTTTATGCACTGATGATGACCAACCAGCCCTTAAACGACTATAAGAAGTTTGTTATGAATGGTTCTCATGTATAGTTGGACAATGGGCATCAATTAATGATTTGCATGGCTCTGCCCACTATGCTGACCCATTATATTTGGATTTGTGGTTAAAGTGAGACAAGTAGCTACCTTCTGTTATTCGACGTTCCATAGTGCTTTATATAATTTTACATGTTGCAAACCATGCCTTGCTAACCTCCTTGCCTCAGCTTTCAGTATCTGGGGTTGATTTACTGTACTATATTCACTAACCAAATTATGTGTAAGGAAAAAAAAACCGGTTGGCATCATCTTATTTAATAAGCTAATCAAGCAAAAGTCATATTACCTTATCTAAACAGGTACAGAATATTGATAAGGACATCTGACTATTCCTCAGCTATCATGACCTACGTACTAGTTACATCTAGGAAACTGAGAATGAACTGTTGTCAACGTGTCAGCATATCAGCTAAGGGACTAAAATTTTCAGATTGAAGCCAGCAATGGCACCCCCCATAGTTCATTTAGGTTTGCATTACAGATTTGCAGAGTTATAGTCCACTTAAAAAGTAACAAGAAGGGAACTGGGAACTATAGCTAGTCCGGTTTTTCTTCTTTTTTCTTTCCATAAGCGCAGGTTTTTGTCTTTCAACTGGGAACTATAGCATGGAAGTTTGGCTGTTCCAGTATCCAAGACATAAAAGGGGTGCTAACTCAGTCCACCATGCTCTGCTTATAATTAAAATATCAGTTTTAGTAGACTAAAGGTGCCCATACACCTTACAATTATCGGACGATTTTCGTATGCGATCGACTTTTCGTCCGATAATCGTATGTGTGCATTGCAGTGTCCGACCGACAATACTGTACAATCGTATGACTTTTGACGGTCAAACATGTTTGAAAACTTTGCTAGATCGTACGATTTTCTTAAGGTTGCTGGCGATTCCGTCCGTCAAAAGTCGTACGATCTACACTGCGCTTGCGCTAACGAAAATACAGCAAATCAATTACCGCATTTTGTCCAGGTGCTTTTCGTTAATTACGGCTAAATAAATCTTGCGAGCACCGGGGTACGAAAATTGTACGACGGTTCGATCATCAGACGAAAAGTTTTGTCCGATAATCGTAAGGTATATGGGCACCTTTTACCCTTAATTAGTTACAGTGAGCAGTATTCAAATTTATGACACATTTTGGTAACAAAAATGGCACAGGATGTAACCAGGCCATGTATATAATGATGTTAAAAATATGTAATCCTTATCATGTCAATATTACTCAAAATGCATGAAACCCATACAGCAAATATATATAGCTAATATTATCTAAAATATAAATTCAATATTAGATAGGCTGATCTTTAATTAGTTATAGTAAGCATTATTCAAATTTATAATACATTTCTGTAAAAAAAAATGCACAGTATGTTACCATTTATACAATAATGTTAAAATATGTAATCCTTATGTATTTTTTATTCAAAATTAATGAAACTCATAGAGCACATGTATAGCTTAATACTATTTTTAACTCAAGTGAACTCTAGTAGTGTTGACCTTAATGATTAACAAATATAGATCTATGTTCCCTCACAAAGCCCAACTATTTACCTTGACTTATTTTTCAAATCGATACTATTGACTGGCTAGTTTGAACACTGCATTTTTTTTCCAGTCACATGAATATTCCGTTTTGCAATTTCCTTTATTTTGTACAGCCTTATTTCTGCTGGATAAGCTTTTCTTACGCAATGGCATTACACAGGATATGGGGCTATTTTCCATCAGCATTTATTAGCTTCTAGTACTGACATAAATAAATCCGTGTTTATAAATGTGCCATTTGTAGACATTTATGTAATTGAACAACCCATTTCAAATATAATCATGTAACTATTAAAATGCATTTAAGAAAACCACAAATGACTTTTGCTTTACTAGTGTGTACATAAAGCTTCAGCTAAAGCATGTTGAAATGTGCAGGAATGCTCTGGTAAGGAGGAAACTCAAACATGCTGACAATTTCATTTCTTTGCAATGATTGTATAACTTTCTGGATGTCAGGTATCTAATAGTGGCTCATTTATTGCTGAATGGGTGAGAACGCTCTAGCTGGCATCCCACTCAGCTCCTAGGAACCAGTGATGCCACTGGTTACTGGTTGGCAGGAGCTGAACAGGACTCTCTGGCTGGCTTCCCACCCAGCTCCTGGCAACTAGTGGCGCCACTGCCCAGGAGTTGGACAGGACGCTGTCCAGAGTCACAATCCCCCCCAAGTTAGCATGCACCATCACACCCCCCACCACCTCAGGTGGCAAAAAGGCTAGGGATGCCCCTGGAGCTGGCAGTCAGATTACAATAGCAGGTAGGGGAAGATTCCTCCATCCACAGCATGAATGGGGGAATTGAGCCAACTTTAGTTTCCTTTTTTCCTGTGTTTTTTCCTTTTATTTTCATCTGGTGATAAGGAACATAAGACTGTTTTATCCTTCCAGTTCAACTCACAGGAAGGGACAAGGAAGCTGCATTTGTGGCAAGATCAACTCTTTCTGTACTTGCTAAGAATGTTCTGAGCCTGGAAAAGAAAATGGATGCAGCACCGGTAACATTTATCTCCCTGACTTCTATGGGGCTGTATTGCAAGGACTTTGGTACGGCATGCAAACAATTTGTGGAAGGCCACAGGAGGCAAATCTCAATAAGTATGCATCTGTGGAGAGGGAAAGTGTGGCATAAAAGGGTGTCAGAGGAGGGGATAAAAAGAATAAGTTCACTTTATCTGAAAGTGCACTTATTCTTTAAAGCTGAATTCCAGGCAGATGAAACTATAGAAATGAATACAGTTATGTTGTTTTTTTAAATTAAATATTGAAATAATAATTTATGTAACTACAACCAGTTTAAATGCCGGCATTAGACTTGATTTTAGCCCCTTGTAATCCCACATACAACAGAACTCAGACTAAGACAAGCAGGGGAGGCATTTTTGGGCAGTCAGGTGGGCTGCTTTCACATGTGCTGACAAGGAACATGCTGACAGAACAGAGAGATGACCTCATCGGTCAATTGCGGTTCCTTCACTGTCCAGTCACAGGCTGGGTGGAGGAATGTGTACAACTTTCTTAACTGCAGCAAAGTAAAGTCTAGCAGCCAAGCTGGCTGTTCTGTGGTTTAGGACTGTGTAAATCTCATGAATTGCAGCCACGTTTAGTGTTGGAGCACCTTCAGAGATGCGATCTGCATGCAGTCTATCTGTGTTTAGACAACTTTCATCCTACGATCCATAATACATCCTGGAATGTTTATTGGCTTTATTCCAAGACTGGTCTTAATGTGTGCATCATTGTAGAGCACAAAGACTAATATGAATGACTCAGTAGTAGTAGTAATAATGTAGTCGTGTAGTAGTAATGTAGTAGTAATGTAAAGTGTTACTTTATTGTAAAATGCATACTTTTAACACCTAAAAAAATAAAACTAAGAGGTCCATGCACACAACTACAGGAGCTTTCACTGCCCCTCTAACCTTAAATGCTGGACCATTCTAAACGGGCAAAGCTCCAACAATTTAAAATCATTTGTCAACTGTTTCTTTTTCTTCAATCTTTTCAATTATTTTCTATTCTGATTCTACCTCGGAGGTACCGAGCAGAATAGCTGAGCCGATTGCTGCTCGGCGGCATTCGGCTGTTCACGTACTGCCGTTCGGCCCCTATGAGAATAGGGGCAAACGGCAGCGAGTGAGTTGCCAGAGCTTCAGCTCAGCCGATCCAGATGTTGGATCGGCTAATTCAAAGTCCCACTGGCAGAGCATGTTCGGCTTGCCGAAGGCAGCCGATGTACGTCTGATTTCAGCCAATGTACGGCTATAATCATCCGTACTGAGCCGGTAGGTGCATTTTGAAATTCAAAAATATGTGGTTTAGAAGCAGCCATTACCTATTGAAGTTAATGAATGAGGGACAGTGGCCGCATTTGAAAGTGGCAGTCTGCTGGCACTCCACATACAATCATATGTGATATGATTACATACGTTAAGGAACAGATCACTATCCCTGGACACACAATCGGTGCAAAATTCATGTACATTTACTTCTTGAAAAAATGCATGCCCATTAAGCAGATATGGTGGAGAGAGACCCACGTGTACTTTTTGACTAAAGTCTATGCTGCACCTTTATGCTGGCGTCTACAAATATGATTTTACTGATATAATTTACTTTACGTAATACACAAATGTTATTGTATGTTTTTTTATTAAGATATTACACACATATAGGCAATGTTTTTATAATATTTTTAATAGGGGAAATCACAGTGAGTCCCCACTGCTATGCATCATTGGTTCATCCATTGTGAGTAGAATATAATATAAATAGTACTGGTATGACTATTTTAAAATCAGAGAAAAATTATGTAACAAAGAACGAAGACAATTAGGTCTATTTACTAAAGGAGTATAGGCTGTTCACGTAGCAGAGTGAATTTTCATATTGCAACAGAATTTTCCCTTAATTTAGTAAATCAGGTGAAGCTCTGCTGACATAAATCCTCCAATCGTGCAAACAAAATCCTGTTTTTTTTTTTTCATTTTTCTTGCTCATGAGTGGGTATTCTTTGCAAAATGAATTTTCCCCACTTTCACTAATTTAGGTGAAAATTCTCATGCAAAGTGAATATTAACTTTACTGCTCTACTCCTGCAGTAAATCAACTTCAATGGCTCTTCAATAAATGCTAGGCATCGATGGACAATATTTCATATTAATGGTATGTTTTTATGGTAATTATTTGGAAAGAAGAAATAAAACATTGTCTGAATGTGTATTTACTTATTAACTATGTGTGGACTTAATTTATATCCATATTTCTGTTTTTATCCAGACTTTAGGCTGTTCGTGTGTAGCATCTTCTGTTCTCAGTGGGGGAAAGGCTGGAGGTCACTTAACTAATAATCTTGGCTTTGCAATGGCAGTCGCTATGGCAGTCTACGCTACTGGAGGAGTGTCTGGTAGGGAACGTAGTTTTGCTTTTACCAGTGCACTGTATTAACCTATATGTAAAGCCAACATTTTCATTTTTTGTTGTGCATAAAGTATGGAAGGGTTAAATCCCCTGCCGGGTAATTTTTTGCTGCCTGTGTACCTTTGGGGGAAAATTCAATTTTTCACTTTGTGTCCCAGAGATGCAACAGAAAGGAAATCTCCCAAAGTGTGGGGATTTCCCATCTTCGACAGTTGTCCCCTGAACATTTGCCCTCATTGAAAGATTTCTCTTCACCTCTTTTTCTGGGGGCAGCTCTTAAAATGTAACTTAACTTAAATTTTCTCCCACTTTCTTTCTCTGTAACAATGGTCACCAGTCAAATAGAGGTGTGAAACTTCCCAATGGGGCACAGACAGTGATACAAATTTGACAAAGGGTCTAATGGTCCCCCAACCAATCCAAAACGAAAAACATTTTTACATAGAGATAAAGTTTAAACGATCTATAGTATAACATTTGTGCTATGTTCACTCCTTTGTGCCATCACTGAAATCCTTATTGTTTTATTTATATTGAGAGTAAAGCTTTTAATTTTCAAGTAATTTTTCTACAGCAATGGGGTTTTACTTTTGTAATGGTCTGTGTCATTCAGCTTTTGTTGCTGTCAAAACTCCTCATGCCCTCCCCATACAGGTATATGGAAATGCAAAAAGCAACTTGGAGCAAGTCAGGAAAAGGTTACCTACGGGTCAAATGCACCTGTAATGCATTCTGAATTATCTCAGAAGTGTCTCAAACTGATGTCAAAAACATGTATGCATTTGCAGCACATTGACACTGGCCCCAACTTGTTCAAAAACAGATACTTCAAAGCAACATATTCAGTTAACATTCAACAGTTAAAGTGGACCTCCCCCAACAGTAAACAGCCATTGTGTATTTACAGCCACATGAGGATCTCAAAACATCAGCAAGTCATATGTAACTGTGTTACATTTAGAAGAATTTCACTTCTTTGGGACACTGGTGATGTAGTCAAGGGGTCACCACTGCCTCCTGGAAAGGCTACATCACCAGTTCCCATGAGGGAGATCTCGCCTGTAATCTGCAAGATCTCACAAGGAAAAAATGCATTTTATTTTATTATTTTTCATACATTGTTCATACATTGCTATGGCTTCAGTAAAATGAGTGTCAGGTCACTGTGTAAGTAATACCAAAACATGCCAAAACTCATGTTGCGCATGCCCAAGATCTGGCACCAACATCAGCAGTGGGCCGGCACACAAAATGCTGAAGAAGAAGTCACTGATAATGTTGGCTTAGAAGATGGTGGTGCAGTTTTATAGGAAGGGGTGCAAAACAGCTTGAGAATATGGGAATCATACAATGGATGAAGCAAGCAGCAAGCAGTAATAGTTTATATATATTTAGTTTAGTATATTCATTTCTGTAATGGTGGCACTTTCATATAAGGAGGAGGGAGGAAGGTTTGCTTTAATAAGAATTGGCACAGCAAACTACACTATCCCCTGCATGTTGGAAAGAATATCTTAGTTTGTGCAACACACTGTTTGTGCCAGAGTTATCATACAATAGTGGATATCATGGGATTAATGCATGAAGAACACACAAACAATGATGATTAGAGGAAGAGGTTAGAACAAGTAGCAAATGTCCTCACAGTATGACCTTTGATGAGCAAACACTCATTACAAAATAGTTATCAGATGCCAGTCTATGCACTTCACACTGAAAAAGTTAACAGTTTCATGTGATATGTTGAGTGCATCTAAAGCCGAAAACTTTTTTTAGGCTTGGATAAAGTAGTCAATAATTTGTTTTTATTGCTATATATGCCCCCACTGGGAACATTCGTCCTCCCAATTTATCCTGGTGACTGGGACAGAAAGTAATGGGAAATCCAAAAATGTATTGTTGTCACCAGAGGGGAAAACTTTTAACAAACATTCCTGTTCCAGAAATAGTTAAGAGGGATTTCCCCTGACTTAAAGATTTCCTCTTACTTCCTGAAAGCAAATTTCACCAAGAGGATACAGACAGCATAACAAAATAAGTCAAAATATAATTTATTTTAGATAAAGAGCAAGGGAGTTTTCTCAAAAAGAATGTTTAGATTTTAATATATCTATATATTTAAGGGGGACAGACTATTGGCAGTGGTAAACAATGGATGAGACAGGGACACCCAGGAACAGTTCAAGCAGGTTTGTCTTGCACTTTTATACAGGCCATAATAACACACAGTTTCAGTGCAGGAGGGCACATTTAAAGCATAAAAAAACCTGTATGCTCATCTGAGACAATAACTAAATCAATTTCAGTTCCTGTCATTGCCCACTAATGGGTTCCCTAACACAGGCAGCTCTTGTATACTTTTAGTGTTCAGTCAGTAGTCAGTCTGTTCACCCAGCAGCAGGTTTTCACAGCAGACAGAATAAAAGAGAGAGAGAGCCCTGAGCATCAGTCAGCTTACATACATAAAGGCCTGTACACAGCTGAGACCAATAATGAGGTCCGGCTGCAAGGTAAGATGAGGACCTAGGGATAGAGGTATTATCCCACCCAAAGCTCTGCAAAGCTTTCGGGCTCCAGCTACCAAAACATGACTTATTCTAAGATTTTGAGAAAATAAAAAGTGTGCTTTCTCATTAAAAAACACAAACCTAAATAGAAAAAGAGCTTGAGAACACAGTCCTCAATCTCTTTTTCTGTATCCTCAGTTATCAATGAACAGGAATCCTCTATACTGAGTGCTCCTGTTCATTTATAACATGAGGACATAGTATGTTTACTATAACCACAATCATGAATGAACAGGAGGATATAGTAACCATACTCTGTCCTCAATTATTTACAAACACTCAGCAATCACTGATCGCTGAGTATTTGTACCCCGCTCTGCTTCCTGACAGCTGTCACAGGAGGCTGAGCGAGCAAGGCGGGGAGGAGTGCTCGATCTGACAGCTGACTCCTCCCCGGCACCGCCGGCACGCCTCCTGTGACAGTGCTGGCTGTCTTTGCCCCTACACACCGCTCTCCTCTGATCTGTGATAGGAGGCTAAGCGGTGTGGGAGGAGAGATGCCGGCCGCTCAGACATTAGCCAGCACTCGGCCGCCTGTGGCAGTTTCTCTCCTCCCAGCTGGGACACAGAGCAGCGCCCAGTGGGGAGGAGAGAAAGAACAGATGCATCGCTATATCAGCAGAAAAATTGCACTTTCGGCATTTTACCAAACGTACAATTTTCGGACGATATATCGGTGCATCCCTAATTAATATATATACATATATATATAT